ATTTGCCTCTGATAAGGAATATGGTTATTTTTGTTATTTAAGTATTATTATTGGATAATAATAAAGATTTTGATTTAAATTATATAAATCATAGACACTACAAGTAAATAGGTATATCAACTCTGGCAGGGCTTGAAGCTTAGCAAAAACTCTCGGCTGTCAATTAATTTTTAACTTGGGATTGTTAACTACAATTAAGTTAACAAAAGTATTTTCTTAAATATTTTTAAAAATTAAGGGAAAAAATTTCAATTTAAAATACTATACTAAAATATTGGCTAGACAAAATAAAAACTTTTTAAATTAAAAGTGACGTTTCTATATATAATTTAAAAATTTTTATTTTCTCTTTTAACATTTTTAAAGTAAAAAATAAAACAATTATTTTTTATTATTAAGTTTTTAGTCATTTAAAAAATAATTATTATTTTTCTGTCCATTATTTAAATTAAATTAGGTAAGTTGCGAGTAGGTGTATTTTGAAAAAAATGGAAATAGTTGAAGGAAAAAATAATTAATTTTTGAAATTTTATAAACAAGGAAATAAAATGACAATTTTAAATGATTTTTACGTATCTATAGTTGCTGGAAATATTTTTCTAAATTAATTTTAAATAAATAAATTAGGTAGTTATTTATCACCCCTTCATTGATGTCCTTATATTAGAAACTGAGTCCGTATATAAAACTTTCAATTTGAAAAAATTCAACAAAATAAAGAATATTTAAAGAGAAAATTAAAATAAATATTTTTCTAAAAAATATTCTTAAATATAAAATTTTATATTAAGTAATATGTCAGCAATATATTTTGGACAAAAACAAAAAAAATAATTTTTTAATCAGAGATTGGATCCACCAAAAACTTGTAATAATTATAAAAAGAAAAAATTGTTGATAGATTTGCTTTTTTTATTTATTTTGGACGACCTTGGAGGTGAAAATACAAAAAATCTTTTATTAATTAATTAATGTTACAACCACAAAACCATTTATAAAAAATTCCAATTTCTACTTTCTCCTTTCAATTTTCCACATTTTTGTCTGCTTAATATATAAAAAATAAAAGACAAAAACAAACCTTTAATTTTTGGTTTTCCCCGTTTTCCGTTTTTTTCTAAAAGGAGAGATCAAATTAATGTATTTAGATTTAATTCGAGAAAGATCAATTCAAAAAAGGAAGTTTTTAAAAAAAGTAATTGGGTAAAATGACGTAAAAAAATATTTATATACGGTTAATATTTTTTAAATAAATTATATTAAATACATATTTTAAATTTAATAAAACAAATTTTAAATCCTCAAGCAATTTTTCTTCTTTATCCACGAAAAATCTCTTTCAATTAGTGCTGCCAAATCAGGATATCTGGGGATTTCCCAACCTTTAAACAATATAATTTAAAAGAATTTTAATATTAAAAAAATATTTACTACTATTTTATAAATATTTTTTTATTGAAAAATATTTTAAATTCCATTGCAAAAAATTATTATAAATTTTTCCTTTCCCTTTCATTTGATAAAATTTATATATTGAGAAGCACTATAATAAAGAGAAGAAGCCTTTTTAGTTAAAATATGAATAATGCATAAACTGCCGTTTTTTGATGAGAAAGCTACCCCCAACAGATAAAATAAAAAAAAATATTTTTTTATTTTAAAATCAATTTTTAAATTTATTCTTTTATTTTAAAATTAAAAAAAATTTTTTATTTAAATGCCATTTCTTCCATTAATTCACAGATTTTCTGTCAGAAAAAATAAAAAGGTTTTTAAGCTTAATTAAAAATATATTTAATTAAAGGAAAATAAACAACAAAAATTAATTTTCAATAAAATAATTACAAAAAATCAAAATACTCCAAAAAATAGAGAATTGGAAATTTTAAATGAAAAAACGGAAGAAAATAAAATAATTAAAAATGAAGAGAAAAATAAAGAAAATGCCGAAATTAATGTTAATAATTTAACCTTAATTTCTCCTAAATTGGTTAATATTTCTTTGTTTAAAATATAATCTGTTCGAACAAATAAAATTTTATTAAATAATTTTGAGGTCTAATGGAAGATATAAACATATTCCCAGGATCTTCGACTTGAAATAAAACTAATGTTAAGATCCATTTTTGTTTATAAGAGTAGCAATATTTATGATTGCACATTTTTTGTTGTTATACAATAAAGTTTTAGGGTATGGTTTATAATTACCTAAATTAGTCAATGAACTTTAACTAGCAATTCACATTATTTCCATTTATTCAATTTTTTAAAAATTATTTTGAAAATTATTTCCTTTAAAAAACCTTCCCTTGGGATCGAGATAAGAAAAAATAAAGTTTCAAACAATAAATAAAAATTTTTCGTTAAGGATGATGTTTTTGTTACATTTTGTCTCCAAATACATTTACATGAAGGGTTAGGTTTGGAAGTACATGATACTTGTGGTTAGTTTTTAATCTTAACAATTAAATAAATATTTATAAGGTAGTAGTGATCCTTATATTAAATGTCAATATGGAGGGAAGACAATTTACAAAAGTGAAATAATATTTAGAGAATTGGTAATAAATAAATTTAATAAAATTAATAAAATTAATAAAATTTAATTTTTAATAGAATCCAAAATGGAATGAAAAATTTTCTTTTCTTATTCAAGACCCAACAGAAATTATTACTTTTAAGGTATTTAGTAATTTAATTTTGATGGGATTTTAAGAATAAAAATAAGAGCAGTGTTTTAATAGTGAGACTTGGGGAGAGGGGAATTAATTAGTATTTGGCAGGGTTACATCGATGGATTTTATTTAAATAGATAAATAAATAATTTTATATATTTTAAGGTTTTCGATTATGATCGTTTTATGCGTGACGATTTTATGGGGACGGCTAATGTCTCATTAAATACATTAAAATTATCTGAGTATTTAAATATATAGATTATTTTAAAATATTTTTAAAGGAAAACACAATTAAAATTAAAATTGGAGGATCCAAAAATGCAAGAAATAAATATTCGGCCTTTAGGGTATTTAATTGTTTCTATGACTTTAACGCCAATAAATGAGGAACAGAAGGAATTGGTAAAGGATTTTCTCTTAAAACGTTTAGTAAAAAAGAATTTTATATTAAAAATTTTTTAAATATTTATTTTTGACTAAACAATATATAAAATAAAATTTTTAATTTAAAGTTTATTGAACGTTCAATAAGAGGAATTGTTTCAGAACGTAAAGGAAAACAAGAAATACAGAAAGACGAGGAACAAACAAGTATTTTGTTGTTAATTTAAATTAATTAAAAATTAATTTATTTAAAAGCATCAGAAAATGAAAATATAATTAAAAATAATAATTATTGTTCTTTTATTGAAGAATTTAGTGGAAATATTGAAAGTCAACTTTATAAAAAATATGTTTGCATTTAAAATTTAAAAAAAATTTTTTTAATATTTTAATTAGAATTTTTGGTCGTCTTTTCATTCATTTGAGGATGTTGGATTTTTAATATTTAAAAGTTAATTAATTAAATCTTAATTTAAATTTAAATTCAATTAAAGTTTTCGAAGCAGAAGGCTTAGCAGCATTAGATGTTAACGGCAAAAGTGATCCTTTTTGCGTTTTAGAATTGTGTAATTTTCGTTTACAAACACACACAGAATATAAAACACTTTGTCCAAAATGGAATTGTTTTTTTAAATTGTAAAGGAAATATTAATTAAAAAATAAATTAAATTTATTTTTAAAAAGTCCAATAAAAGATGTCCATCAAATAATTGAATTAACTGTTTATGATGAAGATCCAAATAAAAGAGTTGAATTTCTTGGCAAAATTGCTATTCCTTTACTTAATGTAGGGAAAGTTTTGATTTAAAAAATATTATTTTTTAGATATTTAATGGAGAAAAACGTTGGTATATGCTAAAAAATAAAAAATTGGATGGGCCTGCTAAAGGACGAATTTTGGTTGAAGGCACTTTATATTTTAATTATGTTTGTTTTTAATTTAAATTGAATTCTTAAAATATATTTAAAAAATAAAGCCAACTCTTTTTGATTTAAAATATTAAATAAATTTTTTGAAAACACATTTTATTAATATTTCCATTACTTAATCAAAGGTAGATTTTAAAATTTTTGTTATTAATTAAATACACAGAAAAAATTTCCTCAGTCCTTACAGAATCCAATTTTTGCTTTATCCATTTAAAACTCCATAGCTTCCCTCTTTCTGTTCATCCCAAATCCATACAAATAAATATTAAAACATTTTAAATTAAGTTTAAAGCTTCTCTAAAAACATTTCAACCAAAAGAAATTAAATTAAAACAACCATTGGAACGATTTAAAAGACAAAAATTTTTATCAAATGCAAATCGACTACGGTCTATTGCCGATTTAATTGTAAATATATTTTTAAATTTATATAATTTGTAATTTTTTAAAAAAAGTTGGATTGGACTAAATTTATCAATTATTGTTTAAGTTGGAAATCTTATCCAATTTCAATTTGTTCTTTAATGGTAAAATATATTAATTTTTTTAATTAAAATTTAATTTAAAAAATATTTCTAAAAAGTCTGATTTTTAAAAGATAATGATAAAAATATTAGAAATAATTTTTAAAAATTATTTTAGTAAAATATTCGGAAAATAAATCCAAAAATTCGAAAAATATAGATCTTAAATTGTTCACTAGTTTAATTAAAATCTATCTCTATATTTTATTTTAGTTTTATATAATATTTGTTAGTTTAATCCAACTTTGGCACTTTCCTTTTATTTTATTAATTATTTTGATTTACAATTTTTTAATTAAATATTTAATTAATTTATTATTAAATTTGGAAAGAAAAAGAAAACTTTTCCCTTTACTTATTGGAAATTGGGCTGATATAGCAACAATAAATAAACAAAAAATGTATGAAAAAATATATTTATATTTAATAATTTTTAATATATGTATATTAATTTTATAGTTCGATTGATAATTCATTAAATTCAATGTTACTCGAATCACAACAAATATCCTCAGAAAATGACAAAGTGGATGAAGATAACATTAAGGTATTTATTGGAGGGGGGGACTAATAAATAATTTAATTTAAATTAAAAGATTCAAAATGAAATTAAAAAGAAAGATGGTATAGATGAACAACAACAAATTATTATTAGTAAATCTCTCCGTGAACGTCTGCAAGCAATACAAGAAACGTTGACTTTACTTCAACAACAGGGGGATTTTTTGGTTGGATTAATTGACAGAATTAAGGGGTAATTCTGATTAATTAAATTCTGATTAATTTTTTTCTTTTTCAGAATTTTCAATTTTACCGTTCCCTTTCTTTCCTTTCTTGCAATATTTTCACTTCTTCTAATAACTATTTTGTTGTATTATATTCCTATAAGACTGATAATTATTATTTGGGGTAAGTTTAATTATTTACGTAAATATTCTGATATAAGTCATTTCCTCATACTTTCCTCATATTTATTTACCCCGTATCTTGATCTCAGCTTTCCCGGTATCCATCAAAATCCTCTGATATCTTCCACTGATTTCCCCTTAGCCCCGTTATCACTTCAAATTATTATCCATCCAAACACATAACAAAATCAAGTAGGACTCGCTGACAGTTTGAGATACTTCAATTCTTTGGAAATTTCGCGGGGGTGGGCTTATATATATTAGAATATTTACGATAAATATAAAATATTTTTATTTATTTTTTTAGGAATAAATAAATTTTCGAAAAAACTTTTCAATCCAAATTATGTTGATACAAATGAATTGCTGGATTTTCTTTCTCGAGTTCCCATTGAAAAAGAAATTGTTTGTTTAATAATTTTTTTATCAAAATATATTTAATTAATTTCTTTTTTTAGATAAATTTTAGAAATTCTTCTAGTCTTGTATTTAACAATAAAAGAAAAATACCCAGACATTCTTCTTTTGAATTAAAGTAATAAAAGAATAAATAAATTTTTTATTTAAAAAAGTGATTACTATTTTTGTATTTATTTTTATTGTTTTTACAATCATTTTTAACATTCTTCCAGTCAAATCAAATGATTATATATTTAAATTCTTTAATTAATTAAAATATAAATTCTTTAAGAAATATTTTTATAACATTTCTCATTTTATAATGAACTAAATTTGTTCTATGATGAACCAAATCATAAGGATACTAATTTTAATTTCTCATAGTTCTACGTCTTTAATATCCAGGTTATACATACATATGTAGTTTATGTGAATTTCTCAAGTTTTTTTCCAATTTTAATTATTTTAATTCATACGGAATTTTTAAAAAATTTTTCCTTTGCATTTAATAAATTTTTATTTTCATTAAAAAATTTTAAAATAAAAACCAACAGAACACATTTACATAAATATATTTTAATAAAATATTTAATTCTGTACTTAAATCCTAAAAATAGTAAGAAAAACAAGCAATTAAATATATTTTTAATAAAAAATATATAACAGCAATTTTCTATCTGGATGCAGTTGAAAAGCAAAAAAAACACTCATTCATTATTTATGCCAAGAAAAAAAATATTTTATTTATTCCTTTACATTTATTTTTTTATTTTGGCCAAGAAAGTTCACAAACCTTTAAAATTGCTCTATTATTATTATTATTTTATATAAAAAATCATGAGATTTTTTTTAAAAATATTTTTGCTTTAGGGTAAATAATGATGTTTGTTTAATATTTTATATTTTTTTAAACTCTTGTAGACTTTTCTAGAAAATATATACATAAATTGTTCTTTTGAGTTTTTTTAAATATTTTTCGGTGAAATAAATCAACCATAAAGGTTATTTATTTATGCACTTACATATGGAGGGGGTTGTTAAGTATTGCCATGCTTGCTTTAAGCACACGCAAATCTGAACCTAATTGCCCAATGTACTAAACAGGGTAGACGTTAAAGCAGATTTCATCTACTTTCGCCAGTCTGGCTTGTTAACCATCACCTTAATAATGGTGTAGAGATTAACTACACCACTCTACACCTCAACACTACACCTCAATACCTTTGTAAATGATTATGAAAAAATTCTCCAAAAAATTTATTTGAGAAAGCTTTCATTCCGTAAAGTATTTTCCAAAGATTTTAGAGAAATCCAAGTACATAAACTTAATTATTAATTTAAAAATCCAAAATTAAACAAAGTTCCAAATTTTGAATTTAAAATCTCTACCCAATTCCAGAAATTAAACTTAAAATAATCTCAGTAATGGTTTAAACTCAAAAGAATCAAATAAAAAATTAATAGCTTTTTTAGCAAATTTACATATATTCGAAATTATTAAAACAATTATTTATTTAAAAATATTTATAGCTTCAAAAACCACCCACAACAATAAAATAATAATAAATGTATAGATTTATTTTTTTATTCAAATAATTAAAAAAAACTTTTTTTGGTATTATATTTGATACATAAATTATTTAAAATAACCCTGTCATTAATTTTAAAGAAAACTTTTTTTTCTTAGATTTTCTTTTTGATTGAGATGAATGACATTTACATATCCAAGTCCATTTTTTATTGTTAAACTTGAAAAATCCTCGAAAGTCATTTTCTGTCATTTTTATTTTTTTAAGAAATAATTACAAGCTTTGCCATAAATTTATTAACATTTTTTTTTTATAATGAAATAAAGACAAAAGTTGGTATGGAAAAAAAATTTAAGATTACGTTTTTAGAGTTAAAATTATGAGAATTATTTTCTAAATTTTAAATTAAAAGATAAACGGATCAGTTTTTGAGTAGACTCGAGCTCAGAACTCAGGTACGAGTTACTCGACTCGATTGCTCGGTTTCTTTGTCTTTACTCGGGCTCGGAACTCGGGATCCTAATACCCGACATCACTCGAACTCGGTTTTTCCCAATTATTCGGTACTCGATGTACTCTAGTTTTGAGTAGGTGTATTTATTAAACTAAAAATAAAACAAAAAATTAATTCTAAAATAAATAAATAATCTACTATTTAAATTTTATCAAAACTCAAAACTCACTCCACAATTTTTTATTTTCTTTAAAATGATCCATTTATTCACACTTTTTAATTACTTGATAAGCACTTCTTATTACTTTTTCAGAATTATTTTTGGGAATTTATTTTGGAATTTTTGTTAATTTTTATTATTTTTTATATTAAAGCAGTACTCTTTTATTGCAAAATTTTCTACAATTTATTGATAAGCATTTACTAAAAATTATTTTTATATTTTTACAAATATTTAAAAAAGTTATTTAAAAATTATTTTTAGTAAAAAATGAATAATTATTTTTCTTTAAAATACAAAAAATAATTAGGTAGTTTTTTTATTCTCGAAAATTGTTTTTTAAATATAAACAAATAGTAATTAAAATAAAAAAAATAATAATAAGTGTGGTAGTGCCAGGGAATTTTGGAGGTGGGAATATTGGGGACAATTTGGGGGAAATATTTAAATTTAGAAACATTGAATTAAAAGGTAATTAATTTTTAAATTGATTAATCTTTAAATTAATTAATAAATATAAATCAGAAATCTGTAAATAATATCCATAAATATATTTTAACTATTTTCGAAAACATTTATTATATGTACATTTTCTGCAAAAATAATTTAAAGCCATGTTCAGTATTCTTTCTTTCATTTCAACATTAAACACCAAAATCTATTCTTTATTTATTTTGCATTATTTTTAAAAAGGGTTTCCTTTTTAAAAGAATTTTTAAACTATATTTTAACAATTACTCCAAATATAAACATAAATCCCTTTTCAAATATTTTAATAATAATAGTAAAAATATTTTTTAAATTGTTTATTTTCTACTAGAAATTATTTAAATAATTTATTTTTAATATTTCCTGGACAAATTTTCCAATTAAATTTGCATATTAATTTAGCAAAGGAGAAGAATTTATCAGAAAATTTCTTCACCTTTTTAGAAAAATTTCCTCTAAATTTTTAAATTAATTTTATTACGACTCCTCCAAAATTTTATAAAAAATTTAAAATACATTCAAAAATCTCGAAACGTGCCATAATTGTTTATCTAACAATAATATTAAAAAAACTGAATGCTGAAAGGCCTATTTTTCTGAAAGGCCTATTTGTGAAATTCATTAAAATATCTATCTGTGAATTTTTAATTTTAATTTATAAAAATACTTTATATTTATTAATTATTAAAAAACATTTATTTTACTTAAAAACGTCATTTTAATTGTTTCTTTTTCTTGATACTTTTAAAAAAATCTTTTTTAAGGCTTAACAGTCTCGACTTTGAACCTTTAATCCTTAGTATTTCTACTTTTCTTTAAAAACTTTTTTTATTTATTTAAATATCCTCCTTCACTTAATTTAAATAAATTTATTTTTAATGTTTAATTATTTAGCATTTATTTTATAGATTTAAAAAGAATATTTAATTGAATATTTTTAATACTTTTTAAGCGCCTCATTAACATTTTTACAATGATTCTAATTCTTTTCTTTACTAGTTTTTACATTTCTTATATTCAAAAAATTTTTTGGAGAATAAATTAATTAATATCTTTTATATTTATCTTTTTATGCAAACGAATTTATCTATTTATTCCTTCGAATTAATTTTAGATGGGCTACCTATATTTTATTTAATTTTATTTGGAAAATATACGTGTCTCACCTAAGGATATAACTTAAGGATATACCAAAACACTAATCTTCTAAGTAAATTTATTTTTTAGTAATTAGCCTCAACTAAATATTTATTTGTATCCCATTTTGATATTTACCTTCGAAGTTACCTCAAATTTTTTGAAAATACATTCGGAAAGATCAACCATTAATAATGTTTTTTTCGGAATTACTTAATTATTAATGATTTGATTATTATTAATAATTACTTATTATTAATAATTACTTAATTATTAATTAAATTTTATTTATTAATGATTTGAGTATTATGTAGGTGCCAATAAAAGATAAAAATTATTTGTTAATAATTTAAAAATAATTTTAAACAATTATTAAGATTAAAAGACAAATTTATTATTATCTTTTCATCATGTTATCTTCACCAAAATTTAAAATAAATTCCATTTCTTCCTCTAAATTCTCTCCATCTTTTCTACATTTATTTTTTACATTAATTATTATTTTGGCTATTTTTGGATCATCAAAAGCATCACCTAATCGACGTCCAATCCAAATTACTCCTTTTTTGTATTCTGATGCGGTAAATATTGGAAGTGGAAATGGAGAAAATTTACCCAGGTATTTTTTTGAATAATTTTATTAAAAAAATTATTTTTTTTAAGCGCGAGAAGAGCTATTTTTTCCCGAAGTCGTCAATTTATGCCTGAAGAAAGTTCTATTGATGGCGGAAGTGTTTCCTCCTCAAATGGGAGAATAATGCAAATATCTCCATTTTTCTATTCCTCGTCAAAAAGAGATTAAAATTTAAAAGAAAATAATTAAATATTTCCCTTTTTTTCTTTATTATTTTTAGATTAGTACGAATTAATTAAATTATTTAAAAAAATTTTTTTGATAAAAGACGAAGAAAAAAACGTGTTTTTATTTTAAAATTTAATTCGTACTTAAAAGAAT